ACGAATAAACGAGTCGGAAGTCAGTTTAGAACTTGGTTTTCCCATACAAATTTCCATCAAAGGAAATAACTGTAACCGTGCCCTGTAACCGTGCCCTGTAACCGTGCCCTGTAACCGTGCCCTGTAACCGTGCCCTGTAACCGTGCCCTGTAACCGTGCCCTGTAACCGTGCCCTGTAACCGTGCCCTGTAACCGTGCCCTGTAACCGTGCCCTGTAACCGTGCCCTGTAACCGTGCCCTGTAACCGTGCCCTGTAACTGTGCCCTGTAACTGTGCCCTGTAACTGTGCCCTGTAACTGTGCCCTGTAACTGTGCCCTGTAACTGTGCCCTGTAACTGTGCCCTGTAACTGTGCCCTGTAACTGTGCCCTGTAACTGTGCCCTGTAACTGTGCCCTGTAACTGTGCCCTGTAACTGTGCCCTGTAACTGTGCGACCAAAGCGCCCCTGAGCGGTCCCCCTTCTCAATCACTTGTCTTAAATAGCGTTGCACTTATAAATTAACCAGAGACGTTTTCTAAATCAGTTTTTCTCGAGGAATTCGAATTTCTTACTTTTTAAAATCGTATCTTTTATCTAAAATTACCAAAAATGCAGAAAATACAAGTACGGGAACTTTTGGCGCACCCTGTATATCGTGTTGCTTTTTATCGGCCCTTTTCGTGTTATGTGCATGAATTCATGTGTTTTAATCTTAAATCTAGCGCACTTTATCTCAGGTCCTGAATAAAGTATCTATATATCTGCAGAGATTTTTCTGATCATTTTTTTTGTGCTTTTTTTTGCTCAACCATTTAGTTCTCTGTTTGTGTGATTTGAGAAAATTTTCACGAGTTGACTAGATTTTTTTATTATAAACGAATCATTTAACAAAAAATTGTAACTTTAAAAGTCTTATTTTAAACTTAAAAGATAAAGACGAAAGTTAGATAAGAAGTGAATTGTTTAAGCTATACTTTGAAGGTTTAAAAAGCTTTTGAAAGATAGAAGTGAACTGTTTAAGCTATACTTTGAAGGTTTAAAAGGCTTTTGAAAGAAAATTTTTACTAGACAATGCAAGAAAGGATTTAACATTGAATAAATCTATGCTTCAGATTGCAAAAAAATTATTTTTAAACAAACAATTAGAATCTATTTGTTACTGAAGAATGATAACAAAGTTCGTTGATTTGTTGGTAAAGCTTTCTTCGTTGTTTTTTCATTCTCTCGTCTTCGAATCGCTTTTGCTGGCCGCGCTTCTGGTGTCTCGTTTAAAGATTTTCGCTTGTTCAATCTCTTGAATTCTTTCTGAGGTTTATTATGTAATTATTCTAATATCCAATAGTTGAAAATACAAGGTTGGGCAAAATTATCCGGCCAACTTGGAAATGTCATCGCAGACTTAATTTATTTCGAAATATCAAATGTTATATAGGGGATTGTAGCCCTTAATCTTGGCTATATTTATCTATAAAAAACTTCTCAATCGGATTTATGCAACTCATTTTACAAGTCCTTGAATGAGCACTAGTCGATTCCTATCGCGATGCTATTTTTGATGATTTTCTACATAAAAATTTCATTTAAAAAACCTTTATGTAGTCAATTTTGTTTAAAAAAATTATTTTCAATAATTTTATATCACTATAACAGTTATATATAGAATACTCATATGTAGAAAATCATCAAAAAATAGCAGCGCGATAGGAATCGACTAGTGCTCATTCAAGGACTTGTAAAATGAGTTGCATAAATCCGATTGAGAAGTTTTTTATAGATAAATATAGCCAAGATTAAGGGCTACAATTCCCTATATAACATTTGAGATTTCGAAATAAAATAAGTGTGCGATTACTTTTCCAAGTTGATCGGATAATTTTGCCCAACTTTGTACAATTATTTGCTAACAAATTGTTATCCAACCTTCTTAACCTTTTCATTATCCTCTTCTATCGTTTTATTTCCTTCACTTTCTGATTCATCGTCTTCAATATCGAGTAACGGATCCATTAAAGCTTCAACTGTAGTTCGAATTGGAGTAGGTGTTGAATTGCTGAAAAAAATGATTAAAATCTGCTGTATTCTCTCTAAGTAGTAGTGCACCCTTTGCCTAAATTGCTTGAAATCTCGAAAATCGCTTATCAGAACCTATTGATGTGGGATCGGAAAATGTAGCTGACGATGAGATCTAGTGAGGGATTAGAGTGTTGAGCTTCTGGGAAAACTTTGAAAGCCGTAAAATAGTCATCAACTCGGCGGGGCGCACTACTATTAGAGAAAATACGGTATACCGTAATAATTCTAATAGAAGACCAGTCTCTATTAGAAGACCAGTCTCCAATAGAAGACCCTTTTGAAGGGAGGTTGAAAAATAGAAGACCAGTCTCTAATAGAAGACCCAAACTCTTAAAATGCACTATGTTACCGTATCCCGCTACCACCCAGATTTTCTTGTAAAAATCATTGTGCAAAGTTATTATTTCTTTCCTACTAGTGTTTTTTGTAATTCTTGTTTTTTGTAATTCTTGTTTCTTGTCTTAAAATAAATAATGTGTTTATTTTCAGGGCTGATGGCTGAGCGACTGCCAATTCGCACGGATTCTCTGGAGGAGTATCGAGATATTTGAAAAGATGAAGGAGACGACTTTGAAATCTTCAAGGAACGAGAAAAAGGAGAATGAAAACGAGATGAATCAAGATTCGGAGAATGCTTTGGAGGCTCTCGAAGCGGAACTGCTCAAGAATGGAAACAAACGGAAGGCATATTCGATCGAGTTTAAGTTAGAAACAATTGAATTTGCAAAGACGATCTCAAAGAATGTTGCAAGCACAAAGTTTCAAGTCAGCAGAAAGATGATTCGCGAATGGATTTCGCAGGAAAAACGATTGCGAAAGATGGGGAAATCATACAAGAGGTTAAAAGGAGGTGGCCGAACCCTCACAAATACGCAACTCGACGTGGAACTTGCCGAATGGGTCCGAAGCGAACGACAGAAGAAAAACAAGGTCTCGAGGCGTTTGGTCCAAGAAAAAGCAAAGCGTTTTTGTGAGCAAAACGATATCAAAGTCGATTGTTCATTGGGATGGCTTCAAAAGTTCATGAAGCGTCATGGATTTTCAATGAGAACTCCAACGTCAATCTGTCAGAAGCCTCCCCACGAATATGCTGATGTGTTGGTCAATTTCGTAATGTATCTCAATCGGATGCAAAATGAGAACAAATACACACACATCTACGCTTGTGATGAAACGGCCGTCTTCCTTGATCCAATTGGCGGAAAATGTGTTGATGAAAAAGGAGCAAATGAAGTCTCAGTTCGATCAAGTGGACATGAAAAGACAAAAATTTCTGTGATGCTTACGGCGCGCTCCGACGGTTACAAGTGCAAGCCTTTTGTTCTTTTGCCACGGAAACGAATTGATCCGGTCATCCAGAAGCGATTTGGAGGTAAATGATGAGATGGTTGCTCAATTATTGGATGAAATTGATTTGGGCGAAGACGAGGAAAACAAGGATTACGAAAGCGATGCCTCGATTGAAATCAATGACATTAATGAAAATTAAATTGAGGTTTTTTAACGGATTTGCTCCTTTCAAATTGTTTTATGTTTTATGTTGATAATTATTTGTTGTATTGTTGTTAATTGTTGCTTTAACTAAGTGAATAAAGTGATGATACAAATGTGACTGATTTTTAAAAAGGGTTGCTTCCTAAAATCGTTCTCTAAAGCTTTGACAAATTCAAGACCAGTCTCTAATAGAAGGCCCTTTGGGAAGGGGGTTGAAAATTAGAAGACCAGTCTCTAACAGAAGACCAGTCTCTAATAGAAGACCCTTTGGGGAAGGGGTTGAAAATTAGAAGACCATGGTCTTCTATTAGAATTATTACGGTATATTGAATCTGGCCACCTGTGATAACCTATATCTATATTTTTCCTAATCGTAGTGCGCCGTTTACCTAAATTGCTCGAAATCTCGAGAACCGCTTATCAGAACCTATGGATGTGCGGTCGGAAAATGTAGCTGACGATGAGATCTTGTGGGGGATTAGAGGGTTGAGCTTCTGGGAAAACTTGGAAACCGTAAAATAGTCATCAGCTCGGGGTGCACTCCTATTAGAGAG